CAGACATTTGAACGGATGGAGCGGCTCTTCAGCAGAAAAAAAAATAAATCAATTAATAAATAAAATAAAATAAATAAAATAAAATAAATAAATAAATAAAATAAAATAAATAAATAAAATAAATAAAACAAATTAAATAAAATAAAAAATAAATAAAATAAATAGAAAAAGAAAAAATATATATATAAACAAAATAAAAAAATACATTTATTAGGGCAAAAGTGAAAAAATAACAAAACAAAAATAAAAAAAATAAATTTAATAAAAGATAAAATATAAAGAAAATATATAAACAAATCCACAAAAAAGCAAATAAAACGAATAAATAAAAACAATAAATAAAATAAAATAAAATAAAATAAAATAAATAAAATAAAATAAATAAAGATAAAACAAACAAACAAATTAAAAAAAAGTTAAATTTTTCTTCTTTTTTATAGCTGCTACCTACAGCAAAGAAAAAACAAAATAAATAAAATAAATAAATTTATTTTACAACAAGTAAAATAAATAAATTTATTTTATAATAAACAAAATAAATAAATTTATTTTATTTATTTATTTATTTATTTATTTGGGGTGTATATGCTGCTTTCTTTTTTCCTTCTGCTGCTGTTTTACCCTAAAAAAAAACCTTAAAACTATTTTCTTTTTCTTTTTTTTCTTTTATTTGTATTATAATATATAAATATAAATAAAATAATTAAATAAAATAAATAGAAACAAAAAAAAAGAAAAGAATAGAAAGCAAAGCATAATTCAGGTGTACATACACCCCAACAAAGCAGTCACCGCAATAGCTACATCCAAGAGAAAACAAAAAAATAAAAAAAAAAAAATAAATAAAAACAAATAAACTATATTACTAAAATAAATAAATAAATATCTAGATATATCTATAAAAAATATTCTAAAATAATAATTTTTTATTTAATATAATAAAATTATTTTTTTGCTGCTACGGCTGCAATATCTATGGTGATTTCAGGTGTATGTACACCCCAAAAAAAAAAAAAAAAAAAAAAAAAAAAAAAAAAAAAAAAAAAAAAAAAAAA